CTTTCTTCTAAGCTGCCCCACCAGTTTTAACGTAGCTGTCATTTGCAGACTCCTACTGCTGGGCAACGTCAAGTTCCAGCTCATTTTCATCGAAAGAAAAGAAGTACTCCAATAAAGCAACCTAGCCCCAAACAAACAAAACCCTTCCTGGGAAGCGAATTAGTATTTGACATCGTTTCCTTTCACAGGCATCGGGTTCGTGCTGTGACGTTTTGGCCACAGTTCTGCTGTGTGAGACAGAAAGAAGAAACACAAAACACAAGGACTGACCTGTGAACTGAAAGCAAGGAAAGAGAACGTGGATTCCAGCACTGTGGAAGTCAAATGTGACACCAAAGTAAAGTGCAATACTCCCAAATACTGAAAAAGCATTAACAAAAGTCCAGTAAGATGTATCCAAGCCAATCTGAAAGCAAACAAAGGCTCCAAATAAGTTCCTTAATTCAAGATAATGTCAACTACTCTGAAGACTGACAGCGTTTTGGTCAAGTCATCTCTCATCCAGTTACACGTCAGTCACGGAGCGAGCATCAACGGAAAAGAGAGAAGGCAAAACGGGGAAGCTTCTTTATATTGTTACGGTTTTAGCAGACAAATTCAGAAACATGAGCAGAAGGTGTTTTCAGAGCAGCAGAGGTCAGGAAGCTAAGCTTACTTGCCTGAAAGTTGACGACAAATACAAGAGAAGATGCTGCTGTGACAGCAAAGGACTGATAATCTGAAGGTGCTTCTCCGTCTTGCCCCATAGTTTTAAGGTAAGCTCCGTACGGTATGAAGAAGATTATCAATGAAGTTATAGCTCCATGAAGCAAACTTAAAAAGAATTTCTTGTAGTTAAAAAGTAAATCTTTCTGTCCCAAAACATACAGTCCAGGGAACCGAAGACTCCATTTGTCGCTCACATCCTTAATAAAGAGGGAAAAGAAAAAAAAAAGTTGCTGCAATTTCTTGTTCTCCGTGTGAGCTTTGAAGAGTAAGAAGCTACTACACAATGTCCCAAAGGCAACGGCAGACTTCTTTTCCCACTTAGAAATATTTTTAACAACCATTATTAGCACTGAAGACCTGCGAACCGATTAACTTTGGCTATTTCAGTAACTCTCTGCTTATTGTCTCTTGTTACCTCGCACACTGGGGAGAGGAATACATTTTTAAGAGCCAAAAAACCAAAGAAACTCCCCCAAATGCCTTGTACATAAACCAAAGCAACCGGTTTCAGTGTGATTAAAGACTTGATGTTAGATGCCTTTGGATTCATCTGTCATTAACAACATGGAGAGTACCTGGTCGAATAAGCCAACCAGCAGAACCGGGAGACTGGAATACAATACATTGTACAGCGTGATGAACCAGTCTTCATATGCTGTCTGCAAGAAGAGGAGGAATTTCAGCAGTTAACGATTCCTTTTTCATTACACCTTTTCCTTCCAGTTCCTGAGAATATTGACACGTGCTGTACTATAGCATGACACCACTTGTCTCAGTGTTTACCCAAAAGGCAAGCAGCACCCTAGCTCAAAGCTTTGTTGAAACTATTTTTCACCCGTATAAAGCTGCCGCACTCCTTACAAACCATCAGCGTTGCCTGACCTGGAACGCTACCAAAACCGAGCACCTCACGCTGTCAGTCTGGTTTCTGGCTGCACTTGTGACGGCGATGAGCACTTGGCATCTCCCATCCAGGTCCGGGGACGCTGGCTTCTTTTTATGTTCTTCTTTTGCTCTGTCCTACACATCCACAGTTCCCCTCACAGCAAACGGCATTAACCTCAGGCAGGGCTGCTTGTCTGCGACTATGGCCCTGGCCCTTCACGCTGGCCCGTGCACTGACATCTGGCTGTCTTTTGGTTATGCCCATGGAGATGCATCGCGACTCTTCGAGTCCTTTTGACACAACCTTTCAACATTAATGAACTTCAAACCTTGCCAGTTACGACAAACGCATTTGAAGCCATTCTAGCCAGCAGTTCAAGCTCAAATTTCGGATTTGGTTTCCCACTGATATATACGTGCACTGTCCAACTTCACCACAGGAATATCTTAAGCAGCAGGGTTGGGAAAGGTTTCCCAAACCGTGATATATAACAATCTCTTCCTCCCTTCCTCCCTGTACAATCACGGTACTGACCTGAGTGTTCTGAAATCGTAACCAGCTGCTTAGCTTGTAACTAAGTAGCTTAGCAGTTATCACCTGTTCTCCTGCAGCTATTACTGAAGATAACTTCAGGCGCCCACCACTTCCCAGATTAAGCCTTTGCTATTCCGCACTGACAAAAAGGAAGATCTGCTTGTTAATATTACAGACGAGCACGCCTCCTTACCTGGGCAGAAAAGCCATTAAAGAATGAATACCAGACGTGGACTAGTGTAAAAGCAAAGTTTTTGTAGAAAAAATATCTCAAAAACTTGCACATCCTAATGTAAGACCATCGTCCATGCACCAGCAGCAGTCTTTGGAGGTAGCGGAATTGCCCAAAAGAGTAGTCACTTGACATGGCGGCTTGCATCCCTTCTTGGCCACTGATTCCAACTCCAATGTGGGCAGCTAAGTTAAGGAAACAAACACCACACGCTATGTTGAGCAACGGGAGAAGAAAAACATGACCGAGGGCACATCTTCTACCGGTTCCTATTCTCTGCTTCAGGTTCCTCTGCCCCATTTCGTTTCTGTGTACGGCACAAAAGGCTGCATCAAAGCCTAACACAACAGTGCGTAAGCCCTCCTGTGCCCCGTTATTTACCGCTCGTATCTCCACCGACGCTTGGATCCTCTCTCAGTGCTTGTCCCATCGGAATGGATGCTGGGAAATTTGACCAAGGGAGAACTAAGCGATGAGAGAGAGCAAGCAAACCCCTGAACGAACCGGCCAGGCAGTTTACAAACACACTCCTAACATAAACCACATCCCAGAAGTTTCTTTCTCAGTGGGATTTCTCAGGAAGCAGTTCAAGGAGCAGCAGTGCAATACAGGATGGCTAATGCCTCCAAGCAAGGGGCTGCTACGCTATTGCTTTATTCTTTGCACGACACTCGTAACCCGCAACATGGTAACAGATGTAGTTGAAGTCCCGTCTCAGGGAACGTCTACAGAAAAAGGTAAAATATATCACCAAAACCCACTAACCATTTCATAACGGGCTTCCTCAAAACGGAAAGCACAGGCAGAGAAGCTAACAAAACTGAAGTGATGTTAACGTGGGTAATGAAATAGATGGTAGAGTCTTCTCAACAAAGAGTAATAGCGAAGAGACTGCAGAAGAATACCCAGAGGAGATCTTTCCTACCGAGAGAAGTTCTACAGCTGCCTTACTTTTAATCATGTTTACATCATTGGCACCGTCCCCAATTGCCAGAGTAATAGCTTTCTTGTACTTCTTCACAAGCTCGACCACCATGGCTTTCTGCTTCGGAGTCACGCGACAGCAGATCACAGCCCTGCATTCGCAGGCCAAATCAACAAAGTTCTTCTGCTGCTGTTCTTTGTAAGCTTCAGCCCTTCTTCTCTTCTCAGTTTGCTTTTTTTCCTCCTCTGCTGTTCTAGGGAATTTCAGCTTGAGTTTCTTTTTCTTCTTTTTCTTCTCTAGCAGGATTTCATTCTGTGTAACAAAAATATATTATGTTCCCTTCTACGCTATTTCACATTGCACTCCAAGTCCTGCCTATAGAACACACAACTTCGTTATGCTCCCATCACCCATTTACAGCATTTTAATAAAATGCTCGTGCAGAGGAGTGAACCAAGAGCTACGGAAACAATGATAAGGGTGTACTCGGTGGGATTAAGTAAAGCTACATGCTTGCATTTAGTCACAGCACTTCCTGCAGAGTTCAAAGGAATATTTCTTCTGATGGGAACTAATGCACTTTTGAAACATTCTGGTATTTCAACTTCCCTCTCTCCTATTTCCCCATCTCCTAAAGGAAGCACGACCATGCCCGACACATGTGGAAGTGTCCTATAAATACCCAGATTAGCTCTGTGGCAGTTCAGCTGGAGTAGGAGGTAGCAGAGTCCTGCAATTTTATCTGATGCTCCTGCTAGATCACCTCTAGGCATCCCCAGCCTGCTTCCTATGCCTTATACACAGATGTACATTTCTTTGTGCAAAATAAAGGTTTAGGGCTGGCACACTGAAACGTGGCAGAGGGTCCTTAGCTGTCCACTGGACTTTCTCCTTTACAGGTGGCTGCAAGAGCAGCCCACCAACAGGGTGGGTAATAGTCACTGAATTACCTTTCACCTCTCTGCTAAAAGCTCCTTTCTGCTGTCTAAGCTCCGGTGAGAGCCCTATATTGCAGGACTGAGCAGAAAACTTGTCTTTTGTTTCTACCCTTTCACTCCCATCTCTCATTTCAAGCACGATTTCTGTGCCTCCACTGAAGCCGTGCATCCTGTAGGGCTGGCAGTCTCTCTCTCATTTTTTTGCCATTAGACCAGAATCCCCATGAAGAATAAACACGCTGAAAATCAGGCTCTGCTTTTGCAGGGGCTTGGCTTTACTTTGATGGCAGCTACCAGGGTGACTTGAAAGGCCCAAGAAATACCTTATTTTATTGAGCACTATTTTCAACCTTCAAACCCCAAAATATTTCTGAACGTAAATATCAAACAGATGTGTTCAACTGGCGGCACAATGGCCCAGGAATTTTCATTGCTTGGTTTCGCAAAGCAGATATATGAACAGAGTCCTCAGTGAAGGACACTGTGACTTGGTGGCACCCCCTAAATCTCAAATACACAGGAGAATATCTGTTTCACGTACCAACCAGGAGCCAGTGATTATTAAAGCACGATCTCTGCTACCCTGGAAGAAAGGCTCGTTCATTCTTAGAGAGGAACGTGTATTTGATCCAGCTCTGTTCCTCTGGTTTTCCAACCTAGTTTGAAGAAGAGCACTGGAAAGAGAGGTGGATGCTATTACAAAAATGCCAAGGATAAACTTTAAGTTAGATCAGTCCAGGATTGAGAAACTGCAAGAAAGAAATGCAATACATGCTGCGAGGACTTTTTTTGCCATATATTAGGTGATGTTCTAAGCAGTGCCCAAGCAACAGTGAAAAGAGGACGACACTGGTTTGATAACCTTGCTGTTTTGCAAATAAGGAAAAATTTGGAGAAACGGGTCAGGAATAGTTGTGACGTTGTTACAAGGCCCTAGTTCTTCTCCCATCCCCATGGTTTTTTTCCTTGGGTCTAACCATTTTTGACAAATCCTTTATGATTAAGCGCTGAACACCCTGTGACCCATTGTGGTTTTATAGCATAGGTCTGTACTGTGTACAGGAGCAGGGAATAGGGTGAATACCCGCTGGAGTAATGCTTGAGTTCAGGGACAGGTAGCGAGAGCAAAAGCCGGCCACTACTCAAGATCCGGACTAGGGAGAGGCCTGCTTAGCCCACTCCAGGTGCGCTCCACACTTGGCTGAACTACAGGGCAAATCTAGTGTCAGCAGCTGTTGACCTAGAACATATAACCTCCTGCAAACAGGATATCACCACCTTTACCCAAATGAAGTGGGTGCCTCGTAAAATTACAATTCTATAAAAAGCAAGGAAACAGACGATGTGCAGCTGATCAACCACCAAGAAATACTGTCCAGTCATTGAAGAGTCACTGTGGGATAAACCAATATTACCGCTGGGTTAATTTTAAAAATGGAGTGTTTTTAATTCCCACAAAAGAAATCCTTTGTGCTTTTCACTTGCCTGATATCTTCTCCATAGCAGATTGTTGTTTCATCTGTTAACAGTTCACAAGAATATCCAATATTTTCAGCAGTTTCTACAATAAAAAATAAGAGAGGAAAGTATTTACCTAAAGTTCTGTCATGAGTAACTGTTGGAAGCAGCCAGGAGTACCCAAAGTCCTCTTAAGTAATTTTTGAAGTTATGTTTCAGTATGAGAAGGTCCCTTCCATTGTCCCAGTGTGGATGAACAGGGCAAAAAAATCATACATACCACAGAGAAGGTGGGGGAATGCTTGTTAATTATGTCATACAACAACTGCGTGGCAATGAAGGAGCAGTGGGTGAGGGATTTAAATTCAGCAACAGGGAATTATATTTCCTATGCAACTTTTCCTACGAAATGTACATTACTGGGGTAAAATGCATTGCCACAAGACGTTTTGAACGCAAAAACTGTTAGTGGCCTGGAAAAGCCTATCAATTCGTGGAAGACAGATCTACCAGGGCACATTTAACTTCACGGTGGAGATGCTGTCTCCGTGTCAGAGAGCCACTACACCAAAGGCACTGCAAGAAGCCACCACAGGGTATGCCGCACTGGCTTGCCCTGTCCACTCTGGATTGCCCGAACCAAGGCTGTTGCCAGCGCCAGCGAGATGCTGGTGTGGCGGCACCTCCATCCAGGCTGTAGTACAGCCATTCTTACTTACAAATGTAACGCCTTTTTTTGAACTGACTTAACAAAGTGCGTGGCCGGACTGCAGACTAGCAACTAGCAAAAGAAGAGCAAATCCGTCTCTGTCAGCAGCACTCGTGCTTGCTCGAAAAGTAAATTTTCACTGTAGAAAGACAAGTTTTGGTACCTGCCCTCAGAGCCAAGCAAGCCTGGAGTTAAAAGCCAGTTGCCCTGCTGCATTTGCTTTGCACTGGGAAAAGCAGTAGCTGGGTATTTCCCTGCAGAAAACAGTCACACAATCAGTCATGTAGGCTGATCTGTTGGGGGAACAGAAGTAACGCAGAAGCCCATCCAGTAATCCTGGACTGGGAACAGCTGGGATAAAATTCTGCGTGTCGTAGAAATTTCTCCAGTTTTGATTGATTCAAATGGACTTTCATACTAAGCTTTTCTAGAAACATAGGCTTTATTTCTAGTCTGCATTTGTCCCAGTTTATCTTCTAGCCCTTATCCCGTTTTTATTAGCTCTTTGGCTGCAAGTAAACCCACCTTTTTTGTCGCCAGTAAGCACCCATATTTTAATGTTTGCTTTTGAAAGTCTGGAAATAGTTTCTGGAACGCCATCCTGTAGTTTGTCTTCAATAGCTGTTGCACCAAGCAGCTGGAAGAGATATGAAATACAGGTATTTAGTAGGATAAACGTGTACAGAAAACTGATTCATTTTCAGTAGAGAATGAAGCTATTCTGGATATGTCTCCAAGCCAAGGTACAGCTCAAGCTAAGAATTCACTGAAGACACACTCTTGCATACAGAAGTGACCACACTGAAATCCATGTGCTAAAATACATTTCACTTCATTCTATCAAACTCTAAAATTTGGCTTGGCTCTAAAGCCAATAAAACCCTGAAAAGATCTAAATAAAAACGTCCTAATAAACGAGGATAATTTATTTTCAAAGAGATCTGTTTCTTCTTATATAAGAATAAAAGTAGACTAAAGATTTAAAGCTTGACTTACAATCAAATTTTTTTCTATTTCCTCATATACTTTGTCCAGAGCTTCGTCACGATTAGTTGTAGCTACACTGGCCTCCACAAGTTTTTTATTCCATGCTTCAAATTCATCATGACTGATGTCTCTATAGCACAGGCAGAGCGTCCTAAGAGTTTCACTTGCAAAAATCTGAAAAATAATTAAAAAACATATCCACAAAACAAAACTCTTACTTTTCAATCCAAACACAAGAGTTAAGATCAGAAGCATTTAGGAAGTCTGATAAAACAAATCTGACTGCGCAATTAGTCCTGGGTAGTTCAGAAATGCCAAAAACTACATTATAGCTGACAAGGCAGTCTGAACTGAAAGACTGAAGAGGTGACAAATAGAGTTGAGTGTAGTGATCTGAATACTGATGATTATGAAAGAAGCGTGTGTAGACAAAATTTAAGTTCACTTCTCAAGAAAAGACAATGAATGCATTTGTAAGAACATGCACGAAAACGTCTATTGCTTTGATTATTTCTCAGGTTTGCGATGACTTGTAGAGCCAATTATAGGTCTGCATTTGTTTTAATAGCTTAAGAAAAGGAAAGTAATAAAATTAGGTTATAGCCAGAAATAAATGATTTTTAATTTAAAAATGGCATATAAAATACAAACGTACATCTAGTGCTTCTTGTGTAGCTTCTCTCTTTAGATTCCTTGGGTGCAACCGTTCATAAATTACTGTATCAGCCCCTTTACAATATAGCCTGATATTTCCACCTGATTCTCTTACTGTGGAGTAAAATGTGAGAGGTGGGACAAAACGTTAGCGTACATTTAAATAACGGAATAGTTTCAGATTAGATTTTTTAGTCTACTGCCGTTAAGTACCAAAACTACAAGAGCATGTTTCTTCTTTATCATCTCTAATATTGTTCAATTAAGTAACTTGGTTGACAAGTGCATTTCCTCTTCTCTTTCATGACAGGAGAGGATGCTTAAACTCCCAAGGATTATGCTTTTGATACTGGTTCACATAGTATTAACGTCTCACTTGTCCACAGGAGCTAGTCAGACACATACTAGAGATAGGATGCACCAGAATTACAGCCTGTAAAACAACAGCTCTCTAACTGATTTGGGACTGACGACTTTAAAGGTAGTTCAAATCAAAACTAAAGAGCTATTTGTATACACCTCAGCCTGCATACCTGGTATTCCAATAGCTAGAGGAACATACAACTTGCTTGTTCCCTGGGGGAAAAGGGGAATAACTCATCTTCGGAGCTTTTCTTCAAGCTTCTACTAAAGGGACCCAGATTGTCTTCAGCAGAGGCCGCGCCTGAACACCGGACACACTTGCACCTCATTGCGAAGCCTCTCTTTTGCTATCCAGAGCTATGTGGATGAAAACCTGTCATAGGACTGTGTGTTACACAGCCATAATTGTTGACTTCAACTCCCCTTGCACGTACTTTTTCACCCATGAACTACAAGTGAGCTTTTCTGTAAAGGTCGTTCGTAGTCAGCTTACCAATGACAGACATCCGTTTTCTATCACTGTTGAAATCCAAGATAGCAAGGACATCGTAAGTTCTTTCGACTCCCATTTCACTTATAGTGATAGTATTTTGTGTTCGTGAAAGAAAAACATAGCCAAAGTTTCTGGCTGCCATAACCAGGGCCCCTTCATCCGGGGAAGCTGCTTGATAATTGAGCTGACCTGTATCATTGGAAGAGTGAACAGAAGAGAACGCCAGGACACACCTGAGCACGACAGGGGCACTCGGACACCGCAGCTAAACAATTCGCACCCACTCTTCAGACTGACCGAGAGCGAGCTGGGCGCGCAAAGCCCTTTCCCTTTCTGAAGCGGGGCCTAATACACTGCTGCAGCGCCCGAGAGCAGTGGGACTAGGGACCCCCCCGCCTTTTTATTACATGTGCTTTCCAAATGGGATACGCCACTGAACCCTCCTCCCTCCAGGTATAAAAGCAAAAACTGTAACTTGTCTCGAAACAAATATAACTTAAATATCTTAAGTTCTCAATACATTTTCAAAGGGAGCTCTGAAAGACAAATCCTTGGCCACAGACACCACTGTAACAGAGTGGAAACAACCCTGAAAACATTAGTAGGAAGAGCAAGAAAGGAGAGGAGACTGCCTTTTTCACAGAGATCTCACAAAGCAGAGAGTAAAGCAAGTGTTACTCTCCCGTGTTCTAACTGAATCTTCCAACCCTATTTTTCACATTCATGAATTCTTCAATAGCGGTTCACCTCTAAATTTAGTTCCCGTCACATTTTTGTTATTATTTTTGCTTATTTACTGCCAATACTCTTAGGACAGACGTACGTGATTTGTAGACGTCTATGGGGCCGTGAGTCAAGGAGTAAGAGCATGAGACGCTCATGCTGAAAACACTTCTGTTTCCACACTGAAAGCAAGTCTCCAAATATGTTTGTACTTCCACGTATGTATGTGGAACCAGAGACTATGCTGGTGTCATTATCACTTTATTTGAGGTTCAGGCTTTTGAGATTTTAAAGACGTACAGAGAGAAGACCCGTAACACAAAACCGCAAGACCTCTGCACAAGCTGTTCCCTCGCCTTTCTAACTCTGCTGTTATTTAAGATGCGCATTTGCCACAACTGTAACTACCATAAAGACCGTCCTCCTTCCATAAAGGGTCAGGTCTTCCCTGCCTATAGCAGGGGGGTTGGAACTCCATGATCTCCAAGGTCCCTTCCAACCTAAACCATTCTATAATTCTATTCTATGATTCTATAAATTCAGCACAGGGAATAGCATCGGCTCTTGCTTTTGTTTAATTTAAAAGAGCAGCCTAACACTCCTTCTCACTTATGGGATCGGCATTACTTTTGGACCCCTCCCTTGTGCAACTGGATTGGAATAGCTGTCTCCCCTTACACAAGAAAAAAAAACCACCCAAAAAACGTACTCACCATCAGAACTGTCAACCATGACTGTGTGACAAATGGCAAGCAGAAAAAAGAACTTCTGAATTTCAGGCTCCTTTCCAGATTTTATTTGCTCTATCAGATAGTGATCATAGAATGAGAACTTCCCATCTGCGTACATGTTCCAGCTGAAATTCACTTGCTGCTCAGGAAACAGAAGGGAGAGTTTGAGTTATCTCATGCGCCATCGCTTTGTGCCTACCTGCATCTCTTCCTACTTTGGCAAGGGAATGCTCCCTGTTCTGCAGACCGTAGGGAATTCGGTGTCAGAGCGGACGGACCTACCTCTGGGTGGCTCTGAAGCTGCCCCGCTCCGTCCCGCCAGTCTCCTGCAACGCAAGCACCATCAGTTAGAAGGTGCAGGACAGAACAGCAAAGCTTTTACAACTCATTCGCAAAGTAAAAAATATATAGAACAGCTACTGCACTAGGATAGCTCAGATTTTTAAAAAAGCAAATTCATCAACAGCCGCAGTACTTTTGTACACCGGTGACACCAAAGCAAATAGAAGGAAAAACAGACAAGAAGCACGCGGTGGAATTATCATAAAACATCCACGTTGGCTTAACACAGCTTTCACTGTCGGGAGTTCCTCACCTCTCTCCAGAGGTAGGATGTTTAAAAAGCACGTGGCGTTAGCACGCTGCAGTCTGCGTTATTTGAACCCACCCAACAACAGTTTTGGAGCACACGTGCTGCATATTCGAAATACTGAAATCCAGACAAGATTGAAAGTGGAAGTAACTACCACTAACCTGAAAAACTGCTGCTCTTACTATATTTTCTCACTTGTTTCTAGATTAATTTTGTCCCTGAAGCATTTCTACCAAGAGTAAAGCATTCTCTAAATTACTCATTTCTGACTTTTCTGCTGGGAAGTTTCCACTCGAGTCCACCGGTTTCCTCTTTTTAAAAGGGAAAAGGTGGGAAAGGCCCAGCGATTCAATTTTAGTGGGGCTTTACTCAATACCAGGGCTAAATTGTGGAAGTTCAGTTGAAACTAGAAGTTTCGTGTGGACCTGATTTCAAACAAGCATTAAAATGGTTACTCATTTGTACAGCTTGTGCAGGGGCTGCCAGCTGGGCCACACAGGGACTTGCAGGGTGTTCCCTCAGCGCTCCTGTCCCAAATCAGAGCTCCTGTGCTAGCTCTGGTTTTCACTACAGGGTGCAGCAGCGTGGCGCACACGTACCGTATCTCTGGCCGTTTATGCAACATTTTTTAAACGTCATGATGTTCTGCGTAAGCGTTCCCGTCTTATCAGAGAAGATGTAGTGGATCTGCCCCAGCTGCTCGTTCAGCGTGGTGGTTCTGGCCTTCGCAGGCGTGTCCTTCTCCGGGTAATACATTTGCAGGTCCCAGTTTATAAAATAGCTTTGGCCCAAACGAATCACTTCAACGCTAAATGAAATAAAATGAATGTTCTCACCCCCAGCTGCATTTCGTATTTCGAATAATGACATATTATCGGATCCGGGGGACTGACTATTTTCCAGGACTCAAATTGCTCAGAGAGCCACAAGCTTAAGACAAAGCAATGACATTTACCGGCACGTTACAGAGCACCATCACTCCTGCACAGGCCACTCAGACTGACGTTGGACCACACAGCTCAGCTTCAACACCACCGCAGTAGCAGGCGAAAAGCCTCTATGGCCCCATCAAGCCAAAAGTACTGATGGCGCTGCTCCCATAACTAACAGAAACCCCCCCTGGGAATAGTGTTTCAAGTACAATTTGGAGAAAAGCAGATAGGAGGTTGCAGTACTTCAAATATGTTGCCGACAGGTTTGTCAAAGGCAAAATTATTCATACTTCATGGAGCAGTAAGGCCTCTCTTTTGAGGAATACATCTGGAAAATATCATTTTTCTATTTTAATTTTTTTTCAGGTAGTTTCCTTCATGGGCCGTCACTGCAGAATTAGACTGAGAAGTTCAATACCGGCAGGATCAAGTCTCCCATTTTGCCAGAGATCATTGCTTGGGAGAATTTTTTCCTTAGTCGAAGTATAGAGCACGTATGCTTAATACTATAAGAGAAGCTCAGTATCTTAAATTCTGAGTCAAAGATCTGTGAGCGTTGATTTTATATTAAAGCAATACAGAGCACTTTCTTGTAAAATCTCAGCGAAGAAGGTGAGTGTATCCAATGTCTTTTCAGTATGACAGAGAATTAATATACTTTCCCATCCAACGTGAAGCTGCATTTGTTACCACCAACGGGAAATTAAGTCCACTCACCATCAATCTGTAAATTAAGTGATTCAACCCTATCACCAGCTCAGCTATTAAAGGCCGAGGTATTTACCTACCTCACGTAGAGGGAAATGGGAACCATGGTGTTCAGAACAATGATATATCCCCAAAAGTTAAGGAAGCCACGATACGGAGGACTGAAGTCTTGTCCATCGTAGAGGTACCAAGACGCGTTGCCAATCTGCTGCTCCCAGTACGTGTGTCCGATGGCAAGGCCAGCCGACAGCAGGATGAGGACGACAAAAATCTGCAGTGTACACAGAGCGGCCTGTGACACTTCAGAAACATTTGCTCCACTTAAATCCCAAATCTCCATGTTCAAAATAGACTATTACATGTGTTTGTAAGTAAGGAGAAGGGGAGCAAACCTTTCCCACAAAATGATCTCTTCAAATAATCTGGGTTCTAATTTTAGTCTACTCCCCAAGCATCATTTTGTGGTTTTACGTTTATTTAAGCAGGCAGCAAACAGGGCGCGTGAAAGCGCTGGGAGCAGGGGCAGAACCACAGTGGTGCTGAGGCAAGTGCGTCCGCCCGCCAACGGGCCAGCCCCTCTCTCCTCCGCCCCCGTCCCCGGCAATCACACTCAGTAGAGTGCGGGCTGTAGGGCAGCAGGCGCTCCTCATACACACACCCCGCGGGTACGGAACTTTTCAGCTGAACAGACCTCTGGACCAGGACCGGGGTGCTCAGGTCTGTCCCGCAGTTTAGCGCAGACAAGCAGAAGCCCCCGCAACACTGGGTTTGAAGCACTTCTCTGCGTCACGGAGACTGCCCTACACCTGCAGCTTACGGTCGCAGATTCTGCCAACAGCGAGGCGCCTGTTCTAGATTTCCTCCTACTTCATCCCAACTCATCAGGTCAAAACAAAGTGGAAACATACTTATTACACCGAAAGAAAAAAAAAATGTTTCCTAACTTTGCATCACTATATTCACTTAAAAATGAACTCAACCATCTGAATTTTAAACAAAAAGGCTTACAGTATAAACCATGTAATTCATAAGGGAGTCGATTTTTGTCCTTTTAAATTTTGTCTTTCCACTATTTTTCATTATTTTTGTATCAGCACCTAAAAATTAAAAGAAAAAAAGGAAAGATATAATACACAAACAAATGCTAGTAGTACTATTTTACAAAACCGGGACATAAAATACAGTCAATGTTTATAAGATAAAGATGTCATTTCACTCTATAGGGTATGCTTTTAGTTGGTAAATATTATACGTGTTCAATTCATAAATACCTGCAAATACAACCATTCCATGGCAGAAGTCTGTATTCCTAATTTTACATCCACGTAATAAAATCTTATCAGCATCCAGTGAATAACTTGTGTTTCTCCAGAACAACGTTCCTGCAAACTTATCCAGTCGGTTATTAGGTTCTTCACATTCGATCAGACCTAAAAATTTGGAGGAGAGTATGTTTAATATACAACAATTAAATAAAAACGCGTTGATTTGTACCCACCATAGAAGTAATTTTTCTTCATGAGGTTGTTCTTTTGAGAAAACACGTGTTCTGCATAAACAATTCCTTTGACATTTAGAGTGTACAAATATTCACTGCTGTATCGCTGCTATTTTAAATATGGTATCTTAAGGTGGTATTTTGGTTTCCAGACTGAAATAGCGGGAAGAATTCATTTCTGCACCAAGACCAGCACACGCAACATTTACTGCCAAATAGGGCGCTTTTTGTTCACCTTTACTTTCAATATATCTCAAGTTTTAACACGGGCCTGCCTCCAAGAGTGGACGTCTCTCAATCTTACACCCTAGCACAAACGTAGTGTTCAGTTCATTTTGCCACTAAAGACTTACTAGCAACGATACCACAGGGGGAAGACAACCTTCGTGCAAGACATTGCTACAGATACACACTGTCACTGCGTACTGCTACACTGTGCACATACCTGAATCGCAGCTGAAAAAGTGACACTTTACTTGGACTCTTAGGACTTGCCTTATTCCCACTGCCTACTTCGGGATTGGCACTTGAGCCTATACATTTGCATTTCCATCCCCAAAACTGAGCTCATCCTAGAATTTTGGTTCATGTTACCATGATCAAAACTGTGTTTCAGCAATAAATAACTAAACGTAAACGTCAGCTTAACTGCTGATTGCTACAGCGGAACACAGAATGACCGTTTCAGGCCAAACCACTGCTGTCTCTAGCCCTGAACCCTGTCTTTCATCAAGACTGGTGAATGCACAAGGAAGAGTAAAATTCCAGGCACAGGCCACTGGCACAGTTTCAGTCTCGCAGCGCGCTGCAGCAAACAGACTTCCTGAACCAGAGCCCATGTCTTTGTGGGCATACAAATTTGCTCAAGAGACGTTCTTTGAAAGCACAAACTTTTTTCATCCACAACATCCTTTGGCAACTGTGAATTTTAGCTTAACTACGTATTGTGTGAAAAAGCGTCTCCCTTCTGTTGATTTTGAATTTGTCAGTTGCTCATTTCACCTCGTGTTCCTCAGTTCTCATACTGGGGGAAACCAGGAGCAGTCCCTACTTGCTTACTTCTCCATGTCACTCTGTTGTCTTTTGCTTTGTCCTTTTATTTAAAGCATTTGCAATTGTAGGATTGCTAAAAAATTCAGCTTGAGATAAAACTCTGTGTCAGACCTCGGTAAGAGAAGGGATTCCTGCCCTCCAAGTTTCCACAACACGCACAGAAAGCCGCTACATCATAATGATAAATATGAAAAAGACAACAGAAGATACTTTCCAGATCCAATCCCAACAGCAAACATACTTTTTTTCCAAAGAAAACAGGCAGGCAAACACTAATAAAGATCTCCATCCTCTCTACTTAGCATGCCGTAGCTCATTCATGGCAAAGGCCTCATCTTCAGACAGACTATTTTGCTCAGCAGCACAATTTCCGTGTACAACTTGCTCACGCTGCCTCGTGACAAAAGCCAGGAAGCCACTAACACCAGAATCACAAGCACCATTGGCAACGCTTCCATCCCCACCCACGTTTTATTTACTTGTACCATTAACTCTTCGAGCAATGTTTGAATAGTCCTAAGAATATGACTGTACAAACCATTAAAGTCTGCCATCGCACTTTCCTCTTGAAGATATCTGTGTGTTACCTCAAGGGCCATTTTGAATTTTAAGTTAGTCTCCCTAAGAAGAAAGGATACAAAGGTCATTTTACTAAAACCATGGATACAGGAAAGAAGTTCGAACACAATTAAATTAAGCAAATCAATACGCCATAGGTACCAACCTCCTACTTTGCCGCACCGGCAAAGCCACGCGCTTGCACGGGCACGCAGCATTCCTGGCCCAGGGGACCACCTTACCCCGGCCGCTCGTCCTCGCCAGTGGAACCCGACCCCTTCCCGCTGCGCGCTCCAGGGAAGGGAAGCTTCTCACCACCACCCTTTTACTAATGCAATCATTAAGTTTGAAGTAATGGTTCTTTGAAAGCAGTATTTAATAACTGATACTGTTAAAAGCTCCCATAGAGAACAAAACACAAACAGATGCTTGTTTTGCATGATGTTGTAAGTTATCGCTTTTAAGATTACTACAGGTTGAGTGAGGAATACACCGCTCACCCAGAAAAACTAACATTTCACCTCATTAGGTGGAGCCTGTATCGCTACAGACTTTTCCAAAGGACTCCAGAACTAGCTTTTCTGACAATATGAACTAAAGCACATTTACAAATGTACAGCGTGACCTGGACAGGCTGGAGAGGTGGGCAGAGAGAAACCTGATCAAATTCAACAAGGGTAAGGGTGGGGTGCTGCATCTGGGGAGGAATACCCCACGCACCAGTACAGGTTGGGGGCTGACCTGCTGGAGAGCAGCTCTGTGGAAAGGGACCTGGGAGTCCTGGTGGCCAACAGGATGCCCATGAGCCAGCAATGTGCCCTGGGGGCCAAGAAGGCCAATGGCATCCTGGGGGGCATCAAGAAGAGTGTGGCCAGCAGGTGGAGGGAGGTCATCCTCCCCCTCTGCTCTACCCTGGGGAGGCCCCATCTGGAGTACTGCGTCCAGTTCTGGGCTCCCCAGTTCAAGAAGGACAGGGAGCTGCTGGAGAGGGTCCAGCAAAGGGCTACAGAGATGATGAGGGGATTGGAACATCTCTCCTATGAGGAGAGGCTGAGGGACTTGGGTCTCTTTAGTCCAGAGAAAAGAAGATTGAGGGGGGATCTTATTAACGCTTACAAATACTTAACGGGAGGGTGCCGGGGGGAGGGGAGCAGTCTTTTTTCAGTGGGGCCCAGTGACAGGACGAGGGGTAATGGGCACAAGCTTGACCATAGGAAGTTCCATCTTAACATGAGGAGGAACTTCTTTACTTTGAGGGTAGTGGAGCACTGGCACAGGCTGCCCAGAGAGGTTGTGGAGTCTCCCACTCTGGAGACATTCCAAACCCGCCCGGACGCTGTCCCGTGCAACCTGGTGTAGGTGCCCCTGCTCTGGCGGGGGGGTTGGACTAGATGGTCTCCAGAGGTCCCTTCCAACCCTGACCAGTCTGTGATTCTGTGGTTCTTTTCCTGTCAATGTGCATCCCTGTGAAGAGAGTATCTTCTCTGTAACTATCTTGGAGATACTGGAAGACTGATTAAATCACCCTTCTCTTCTCCAGGCTGAATAAATCCAAGTCCTTCGCCCTTTCCTCAGACATCATGTTCTCCAACACTTCAGACATTTTTGTGGCGCTCCAGTGGACCCTCCCCAATTTTTAACGATCCTTGAATTGAGGGAATCAAAAACTGGACACAGTTTTCCAGGTGTGGCTTAACAACTGACAAGCAGAGTTTGAAACACACACTTTTACCAATAAGCCAAAATTAAATCCAAGAAATCCTTAAATAGAGCCTTACCCATCTAGTTCAGCTGTCTCTACATAGCAGAGACTGTTTGGTTCCGAGCTGGATAGCAGCAAAATATCAGCCTATAAAAACAAATAAACAAGCATCAAATAAATCCAAGCCAAGACTCACACAGAACTCCGTAGAAACATAAAACAAATATATCTCAAGCACTTACAGGAACGAAAGTATTTTTCTTCAGCCGAATGATATCACCAACTTTAATATCTTTCCATTTTGTGTTTTTGAACCTAATATCAAGATAGTTTAATAATTATTACTATTTAATCTAGAACACTATGCACTCTATAATTCTTGAAATATTGAACTTTCCTTATGGTAAGGTGTGGGTTTTCTTTTTGGAAACTGCAATTTAGTTGAGGGCCTATAACTTAGAAGTCAACCTACCTCTTCTCCTCCCTCTTCACCTATATATGAATTTCCGTCCTTCTTGGCAAAAAGGTTGCTCTTAGCACAGATGTAGTGCCACAGAATTAAGTTTAAATTACTCCTTTGGGCAATGCTTTTCCGTTTTCGATTAGGTTTTCCAACAGACGGTAAAGAACAAAAAGCTGAACTTTCCCTATCATCTACGGTTTACGATGTGTGATGAAACTTAGTAAGAAGGCAACAAACATGACTTACAAAGTTAAGAAGGGAACAGTACAAACCTTCCATCCCTGATGACTTCGCATGTCCTATTATTAACCTCGTTGTCCATCCTGTGACGAGCCTGAAAATGAGGAGTAGAGAATGTACTCCCTACTGCGTATCACAACTAAAGAAATGAACTATACTGTTTGCTTTTGCTTTTCATATTAACAAAATATGTTTCTTACAATGTCATCCACTAGGTCTTTGACTGCGGTTATTCCCAGCACCAAGAGTAAGGGCACCAGTGTCGTATACCATGACAGGGTAGTGATTTGGGGAATCGACTACAAAAGACAAATAAAAAGAGTTCAATACAGGATTATCAATCAAGCTCAATTCAGAGACGTTTAATAGTGATCTGACTATAACGTAAGTAAGAAACCCAACACAGCAGAGAGAGAATTTTAAGTCAGATTGTGAAGATGGGCAAGACTCTCAGGGAAGAGTTTGACTGTGCTGCCCTCCCTCAGCATTGGCTTCTCTTTAACAACTGTAGTTGCTCGTATTTTCTGTTGGTGCTTCTGATTCACAAGTGGAACTTAAGGCCATCATGTTTTACAGAGTAATAACCAAAAGAAACATCTTTCCCCTATGAAATCAATAAATTTTGCAACTAGCTCATCCAGGCTAATACAAAGTTAGGGTAGGTCGCTCCAGATTTGTGTTAAGATGGGGGTTAGTTTCTGTAGTAGTTCAGATACAGCCTCTGACAAAGTTCCCTGCAATTTCCTGGCAGAATAGCACAGAATTGTGTCATAAGTATTATTCAGCTCAGTAGATTAGCACCTCAAATTCACTCCATAGTCAGTATTCTCTCTGTCTTTCTTACCTGCAAAATGAGAAGAACAAGGAAATAGAAGTTGGCTGCTCTTTTAAACTGTTCTAACAGATTCAGTGGTAAAAAAGTGATAGGGTTGTACTTGTACGTCTTAATTGCATTTCCCTGTTGAAGAAAACCAAACGTCATTCACAACAGCAGATTCTTCTTACAATACAAATGTACAATACATATTTCCAAGTAAAGCATTTTACTAGTGAAATCTTTTCTATGAACTTTGTTAGGTATGTACCTTCCCTCAACAGTTTAAGGTGGGTCACTGTCTTAATGAAACCAGGCAAAAAAGGTCTGTTTCGCTGACGTTAACGTAACCCAAAAGGCATCTCAGACTGAAGCTTTAGCTACACCAAGGACTACAGGGCATTGCACAGTCGCAGTGTGGGAAGGTTACAGCCTCTCCCCAGATAAACCACACAGCGCACATGGCACTGCCAGATGAGCAGAGGGAAGGGGAGGAAACTTCAGTGCTCTCCTCCTCCTAGGAAGTCGTCTCTGTAATGCCTTTTGACGTTATTTGCCAAATACATGACATCACCAGTAGGGATATAATTGGTCTCAGGCCTCAAACTACAAATAATGAATCCAGATACAAAGGACTGTTAATCAGATTTATTCAGGAAGGATGTCAGATCCAGCAAAGGCAACTCACGAGTGCCAGTCCCTACCTCATCCAAGCATGAAGGATCTTCATTTGAATAACTCCAGTTGTGGAAGTTTTACTATTAAATGTTCATAGTCATGCATGAGATAATCCGAGCTGCCTCGAGTCTGCAAGGCAGGTATCTCGGTAGGTACAAGGGAACCACATGAGCCAATGCATCACAGATAAAGGCGGACAGTCCACGTGTAACCCCGCAGTCCAAGCCTCTGTCACTCACAACCGGCACCACATACAAGCACCGCAGCTTTATTACTTTGAAAAGTTAAAAAATTAAGAACAGGGAAAAAAATGCACCCTTCTGTCTTGACAAATGAGATAAAAATGTCTCCTTTATCGCAATTAGGTGGATTTAGAATGACACTGTTGAAATGACTAAACATTCCCAAAGGTCTATTTTTAAGACTGCTCCAGTTGAGCTTAATCAGGATATTGCTTAATACTGCACTGAGACTTCTTGTATGAAAGATGACACCCGTGCAGGTATTTGCAACAGCCACAGCTGAGCAGATAAAACTTGGAATTTGGACTGAGGACACCTGGCTCCTAATTCTCTCTCATCTTAAACAAGACTTTTGATACCTCGGTTTTCCATTCACAAACCCCAAACCAGTTATACTTCCCCACCTTTGTTGGAAATCCTAAGGAAGTGTTAGTTGTGGATTTCACACTAATCATCAGTGGTTCAAAAGATCTTACAGAGATGAAGAGAGTATTCACCCTGACAAGTCCTATTAGCACATAATTGAGATAAAGAAAACTTACGGCATATTTGCTTTTTTTGAAGCACAGAAATACAGTTCTCTTAAACTGGGGCTGCTCATAGAAGCGTGGATCGTTTGCTTTAACTTGCCAGCTGCAGTCTGGAAGAGACGAGGCAAAATGGGTCAACACCTGATGGAAACAGGAGGGAACAAATCTGCCAGTTTCAGGTTTACTCTCAAATGCCATCTTTTAAAGGTACTTTCAATTGAAACCAGACTGGTACCTGCTTGTTAGCACATAGTCTAAAAAACAGGTTTTCAAGAAGTTTCCAGGATATTTGTCTTTATTAACAATTAAAATATAATCTGAGGTAGGAAGAAGTGGTGATTAACAATTTGGAAGTTCTATGAGAAACCGAAAACCTCTCAGATAACATTTATTCATGCTGAATTCCCTCCATTCCTCTTTTGGTTTGCTTTTGTTACACCTGTGAAGCACCGAGCAACCAAAACAGGGTTTCTCAGTCTTTCCAGAAATGAAAAGGTCCACTCAACTTTTGACAACAGTTATTTCATATAATCATACTGTGCAACGGTTTTCATTTACAACCATAAAAAAAGTTAAAATCCGAAGTGCTCATTTTATTTCTTCAGCTATCAATTTTGGTTGATTGCTTGAAAACTCAGGAATATGAATTACATTTTGCGGTAAAATTTAACAAAACTAAACAACCAAAGTCTGCAACAACCTTCTGAAGTTTTGGACCATAAGCTGACAAAATTGCTTACAAAGCAGCTGAGCAATCCTGCCTCCTTCTGACACCTTCAGTATTCAGCATTTAAAACCTGACATACAGCGTCCCTAAGGAAAAAGCTTCAAGAGGACTCGCTAACAAACCATTCACCGCCACCCTGAGGTCCCTCTCGTTAACCTAAGTCCTGTGAAGTCCGCCTTTAAATGGGGTTCGTCTAGGACCTCAGTAGCTTTTGGCCGACCGCTATTTACCGCCAGAAGGACTCCTGCTGCCAAGTTATTTTCCGTGCCCCCTCTTTCACAGGCTGCCTTTTCCCTCCAAAACCCTTCAGATCCCTTTCCTGCCCTCCAGCCCGCGTCACAGACAGCCCTACTAATCCTGCTACCCACACCCACAAGTTCAGGCCCTCCCCACATCAAAGCAAGTCCCCGCTGAACTCCTTCAGCAAGTTTTTCAGCCACCTCTCGGGAGGAGTTTTGCCTGCCTGGGAAGGATGAGGCAGACAGGATTTTGAAAGCCAGCTTTCCTGACTCATCAGCCGAGTACTTCCCTCTTTTCTCCAGCCCACAGTAATTGGCCTTAATGGGTGTTCTCTTTGGCTTCACGGCGTTGTGGTGACCGAAGCCCACCTGGCCCGGGACGGGCAGAGGCCGGAGTGGGGACTGGCACGGCTGCCAGGGACCCGCAGGGCTGCTGTAAGGGCTCGCTGTAAGGCAGCCGTGCCTGAGAAGGCTGACTAAGACTTAAAAACTCAAATCTAGGCACAAAGCCACTTTTTTTTCCCCACCCAACACATAAAATAACGCAAGTTCACATTTGACATATCTGGGATCTTTACTGCGTGCCTTATTACTACGTGACTCTACGACTTTCATTTCCAGCATGCTGGCTGCAAGCTGAGAAGATAACAGAGAAATATTTATCTTGCTGTAGCACTTGTATGAAAGATTGCACAAACGAAAACACACAGCAGATGGTGACGATGCATTGTGCATCCTGGTCAGGGCTTACACAATTAGCTGCCTTACATAAAATTTACAAAAAAACTACTGGAGGACCAGGTTTCGGTTTAAAAGAAGATCAGCACTACTGAAGTGCATGAATTGAGAAAGTCATTAAATTTCGCCAAAATGACAGCACTGAAGAAAATTGTAAACATGTCTCCAAGAACATTTCTTCACCACATTCAAAAAACATTGCAGTGTTGATAAAACCTTAGCATCCCAGACAGAAAACTAGCAAATTAGGTCTTTAATAAAACCTGCAGGAAGGAAGCTCCCCAAAATTATTTTAAACTGCTTAGAAGCGATATTAACACCTAATATTTGGGAAGCTGCAGCAGTATTCATCATCTCTAAAGGAACATAAAAGGAAAACTGTCTTTGTTGAGGGGAAAAAATAGGAAGCCAAAAGGATGACGTTTTTGTAGCACTACCTGAATATAATTAGCTACTGAACCAGTCAGCAGATTCTACAGATTCTGCAACTTAGGCCAGAAAACTATATATTATGCAGAAAATGCATGCAAATAGGATTTTAAAAAGACCCAAGAAAACCCCCCAAAACCCCAAAGGGTATAAAGAGGAAAAAAAAATTTACAAAATTTGTCAACTGCTTGTAAGTTCTTTGAGAGGTTGGCCCCTGTGGACCTTCTGAAGTTCAACAAGGCCGAGTGGAGGGTCCAGCACAATTCCAGGCTGGGCGGGGAATGGCTGGAGAGCAGCCCTGGGGAGAAGGACCTGGGGGTGTCGGTGGGTGAGAAGCTCCCCGTGAGCCGGCAATGCGCGCTGGCAGCCCAGAAAGCCCCCCGCACCCCGGGCTGCATCCCCAGCAGGGCGAGGGGGGGATTCTGCCCCTCTGCTCCGCTCTGCTCTGGGGAGACCCCCCTGCAGTGCTGCCTCCAGCTCGGGGGGTCCCACCAGCAGAAGGACACGGAGCTGTTGGAGCAGGGCCGGAGGAGGCCATCAAGATGCTGTGAGGGCTGGAGCCCCTCTGCTGGGAGGACAGGCTGGGAGAGTTGGGGGGTTCAGCCTGGAGAAGAGAAGGCTCCAGGGAGACCTTAGAGCCCCTTCCAGTGCCTAAAGGGACTCCAGGAGAGCTGGGGAGGGACTCTGGATCAGGGAGGGGAGCGACAGGATGAGAGGAACGGTTTTACACTGAAAGAGGGGAGATTTAGGTATTAGGAAGAAATTCTGGACTGTGCGGGCGGTGAGCCCCTGGGGCAGGGTGCCCCGAGAAGCTGTGGCTGCCCCATCCCTGGAGGTGTTCAAGGCCAGGTTGGACGGGGCTTGGAGCAACCTGGGCTGGTGGGAGGTGGCCCTGCCCAGGGCAGGGGGTGGCACTAGATGGTCTTTAAGGTCCCTTCCAACCCAAACCATTCTATCATTCTCTGATTAGAGTACTGGCCTACCAAGCCTGCATGGTAACATCCCTCACCTCCTTAAAGCTTCTGCGCTAACTCGGAGTCCAAAGGAACTCTGCCATATCCATAGCTCTCGTCCATATTTTGGATAATAACTGGGGTACCATTAACTGTAGAGAGCAGAGCCCTGTGGTTACACTGAACTAGCGGGAGCTATGAGCCCTTTGGGGGGCAGAATCAAAACTCATCTCTCCGATTTCAGATTTTCTCCAGTTCACCAGGATAAACGAAAAGGCACTGTACACTTCAGACACGAAATTGAAGGTGTAGTTTTGTTTCTTTTTTTTTTGTTTCTTGTGCTTATACTAGGCTACAAAGCAAACTTGTGATTGCTGGGGTACGGTGTCTACGAAATAAAGTATCAAGAACAAAAGAGGGGGGAGCAGGGGAAGAGAGCAACAGTCATGATGAGAACTCAAGAAAATATGATGGATGATGAGAGGCTAAGGAAACTGTGCTAATTCTATAGACTACGCTACCTCAGTCATCATTAAAAAAAAAAACAAACCCAAAACATGTAATAGGTGGTTATAAAATGAAAACACATAATAGGTGGTTATAAAGCAAGAGGTGATCAACTGTTCCCTATTGCTGTGCAAACAGGAAGAAATCTATATATGTTAAACAGGCCTTGGTTAGACAAAAGTACTCACATTGCAACACTGAAAAAAGGGGCATTTAGGGGAGTTACAGACTTTCCTTGGACAGAGGTTAGGAACAGGTACGTCTAAGACATGCCAGAGAGGTTCCTCCCATTTATGGTCCTACGCTGGTGGCAGCACACAGACTCCACTTGACCGGTTTCTTTGAACTCCTCCTACTCACCCTACCTTTCCATGACTCTGAAACTACTGCAAATAAAGAAAATCAGGAGGCTACAAAATTAGCATTGAAGCTGACACCTCATCTGTGCAAGACTTTAGAAAGCAGAAATACATGCAAACTAACTGACTAAACACAGCAAATGGGCTTATGCTGGTCAAGTCTCCGGGTGATGGGGAAGACAAGTATCTGAAGTTCTGTTCGAGCAATTCTCCGACCACAGGCAACGCACATCTAGGGCCTGCCTTAATTAAGATGAGGTCACCGTGCAGATCATTAGCTTTATGCAACAAGCAGTGGCACAGAACTCTGGTTGCAGATTGGAACGAAGCTGATTTTCGTTGTGATATTTGATAAACTGCATTGCCATCAATTGCTCCTCCACAGATTCAGATAAGCCATTCCAAATCCTACCTAACGAAGAAGCACAAAAGTCAAATTGATCCATGCACGGCTCAGCCTCTGTTTTCAGGATCATTTGCTACCCAAATCAAGTTTCTGTCATAACATTACCTTTTTTCAATGGCTCTCGGCTCTCCTTGGCATCTCTGTTGATTTGGTTTTGTCGTGCTTCGACCGCAGGCTGCCGACTGTCCAACTCATCCTCTGTTTCATCGTCACTGTATGGCATCACCTCATCGTTAGGCTGTGAATCCTCATCGAAGGTTGTCTCCGAATCCCTTTCTGAGATCATGCTGCTAGCGCCGTGCAAGCCTTTTAGATAAGTTAGGGAAGGATAAAGTTAACATAGCAAGTGCTGGAAACCATGTCTCTGTCATTCTCCTCTGTTGATGCTGGTCACCAAACCCCACATTTGAAACCAGTTTCCCTGGAACAGCAGAGAGCACGAGCTCCGTTTCCAAGCACAGACCAAAGTCACGAGGCGGTTATTTTCACAGCAAGTCCTTCATTACCGTTCTGCTATATGTAATTACACGTGCTCACACAACAGACTAAGGAACGCCCTGTGCTCGTGACACAGCACACCTTGGGTGGGATGTAGGAATCTGGGACCTGCAAACACCTGACTCCCAGTGGCCATTATATCCTTCCCTGCAGACCCACGGGACCCAGAGCCCCACTTGGCCACAGTGGGGCACAGAAGTGGGCACCGAGCACTGGGCCAGCACGGGTCACGCCATCGAGGGTTTGGGTCACACAGCTGGTCCTCCATCCCAGTCTGCCCAGTCTCACCCAAACCAGACCTCGCTTCCTCTCCTCTCCCTACAGGCTGACTGCCAGTGTTTGTCATTGCAAGATCCCACATCTTGGTGTCCAAATTCCCAAGCAAGTTTATAACTAATTTGTAGTTCAACAGACAAGGCCAGTCAGTTGAAGCTGTGATGTGTGTGTGCATAGCTCTGCCTGAAGCTCTTCAGGAAGCGCACGTGCTCCCTAACCCTTGAGCACTAGCACATTATCTCCCAAACTGAGATCTCCACTTTCCATAACGTTTACTTAAATTATAGCTCTTAAAAAACTCCTGACGTTGTTGTGACTTGGGCTGCTGCAGTTGACTGATCTCAGACAGGAGCAAGACCCACAATAGGGGATCCCAGCCTCCTCCGGCTTTTTTACATCACCGAGACAGTTTCTACAGCTTAAGCTATCTGCTGCAACAGACGGTGTCCAATTAAACAAAATCCAGAAACCACCTACTTGTGTGTAACTCCCATCCAACCAACACCTACACATAACCACCTGCACAATTCCTAGGTGGCCTTCATCTACGTTTGGCCACTTAGTCACCTTGCTGGGTGTCCTGGCATTTTAATAACTGATCTGGCACAAGGGTTCAGGCTGTTCTGACCCGTGTGTCCTGTTCATTTCTAACCATGCAATACCCAAATTTGTTGTACTGATGCTTAAGTTACTTGCGCTTGTTTCTGCAGATCAACGCTTCCAAACGGGTTCTGTCCTGTCTGTGTTAGGCACCATAACAACTGTAAGAAAATTAAAAACTGTGAGAAGAGGAGAGGGCTCCATCAGCCACTTCTGCCGGGGCTCTGAGGGCACCAATAAGCCTCTCCAGCCCTGACCAGCCATGCCTTACCCCCCTCCCCCCGGCACCCATGGGACCAGGAGCCACATTTTGGCTCAGCCTGTGGGCCCTGTCTGAGCTGCATGAGAAGAGGGCTGATTTCCAGCTGAGCTGTGGCCATGTCCATGTCCCCTTCAGCTCCGCCTCGACACTGTGGACCTATCCAGCCATCGCTGGGCCTGATCCTAACCCTGAACTACATATCAACTTCCCAGCTTGATCTTGGACCTGTCTTATCACTGTGGCATTGCCTTATGACCTGGACTCTGGTTGGACCTGGCCACCGTCTCGGGGTCTGTCCTGGTTGCCTTGCATGCCGTGGGACCCCTATCCGCTTGCCTTCCCATGGGGAGCAGCCCTGCTCTTGCTCCTCCCTGACAACTTGAAAATAAAACCAAGTTAAAAGACCACTGAAGCCAAGCAACATAACGTGCGCAGCAGCTAGCTACCACGTACCCGCCTGTTGACCCGTCTTGCAAGAAAAGCCTGGGGTTGTGAAGGAGGGCCAGTGCCACCCTATACCCCATATGCTGTTGCTAACAAACCCAGCAATCATTGGGGCTGACACCAAACCCTATCAACATCCACCTTAGTTTCTATTTTGGCAAAGCTGAATTGTCTCTCCTCCTTAATACCTCTTATAAGAGAGATATAAATATTACATGAGCACTTAATACGCTACTCAAATGACACGGCTGTTGGCTGGGAGCCCAAAGCATGCAACGCTCATGACTCGCAGCACTGCAGTGCTTGCCCAGCACACAAGCTAAAGTTTCAAGACGGCCAGTTTGCAAAATTAACCAAACCCACCAGGTATCACATGAATGCACAGTTTGATGTAATATGAATTGATACAACTTCTCCCAAGACCCACTCAAGCTGTTAGAGGCTGCTCACTGACGCGATTAACCAGGAATATGACAGCTAGTCACTAACAGAGTCGTGGAACCTGAAACTTTCATGAAAAGATCACTGGTTTTCCTAAACAGCCTTGGAGTTAGGGAATTCACCTCAAGACACAGGAGATTCAAGCTCAAACTCAGGCACCTGAACGCCTCACTGTGATATTTTGGTCGATTTCTCCTCTTTTTACTCCTTTTGCTCTTTCTCAACTACCATCCCATCCCCATAAAATCTCATATTTCACCTGATATAGAAATGAAGAGAAGTATTAACCAGAAACCCGAACCAAAAATTTATCTCCAGAGCAACCCACTCATTACCACCTCAGAGCACGCGGCCAGGACCACTGGCAGAGACATCATTTCGGGAACAGGCCCGTGATGCAATCCAGGCGGTTTCTCGCGCGCGGTGGTCAGCGAGCAGCTGGCCACGCAGCCCTTGCCGAGCGCGGTGCCTCGCCGCGGCACAGGCACGCTGTGGCGGCTGCAGGCGGGTGGTTGCCCGACCCACGCTGGGGCTCAGGAGCCCCCAGGGTACATCGAGGTTCCATCCCCCAGCAAGTCAGGCAGACACTGCTGAATCGAGTATCAGCCTTGCCTCGTAGCAATCCTGCAAACTCTGACTTGCTGAGCAATACTTACAGCCAACGCAAACACTGACTTTTTCCTTTTTTTCTTCTATCCAAACAGGAATATGGACAATCCTGCCCTTAGCCATCAAAGCCTTTGCTTTTCAAGCAAGCCAGGGTCAGGCTCTTCACCCACATGTCTACTTTGAGGTTTACAGACACTTAGATTTTCTTTGCACTGAATGTCTGTTCAGGCAAAGAAATTCCTTATGTTTTCAATCCCAAACTGTTTGAATGTTAGACAAAGTCCTTTTAGAGCAGGATGTAATGACAGTTCCTGTGAAATATATATAAAATATACATGACTGCAAGAAGCCCTGCAGTAGTCAAGGATTCTGCCCTGCTAATAACTTATGTGGGGACCACTGGAGGGGAAGAGTTGAAGATCCTTACGTGGACAGTCCTTAAAACAAAAAATACCAGATGATGTTTGAATTGCTCTCAGACTAAGACAAACAAGATAAGCTCATACCCCTGACACACACAGACTCAGCCTTTAGTCTATTAATCTTTACGCATTAACTGATTACTGAACTAATTAATCATGCAAAAGGTTAGATGAGATGAGATGTCAAAAAACCACGGTGATTGTTTTCTATTATAAATGCATAGCGAAATGGAAATACCTAAAATACAAACAGAAGCAGCTTGTGATGCTAGTTGGGAACGCCAGCGCAACGGTTTGTTGGGGGGAAGTTCAAATGAATTGTATTCACTTTGCCTCCTCGAAGAGCTAAACTGCCAACTGGAAAACCGCGCTACTAGAGGAGATCTCACTACCTGGCACTCGGCAGGCAGCACAGCTCTGCCGCCGAGCTGCTCTGTGCTGCCGGCAGCACCGTTATCGTTTCTGCAGAAGGCAATCGCACACACCCCAGTGATTTCAGGCAGCATTTACTAACCCTGATACCACAAAATGCAGAGGGCATCACCTCTGCACCCAAAGGCCTCTTCGCTAACATCCCCGGCAGCCAGCAGTCTCCTGGGAAGCTTCACTGCCTGCCCTCGGGGACCAAGAGCGGCCGACGGGACGGCGGTCTGACCGACGGGGAGCACGGGGGGGCTGTTGACAAGCGCGTGGCAGCGGAGGAGCCCGGGGCTGGCTAGGAGACTGCAGAAAGGCACCCGCAGTCAGAAGAGAGCAGAGAGGTGTTGTGAGACCGAGGGTGAAGGAGTCCTCCGGTGACAGGGCGACAAACTGGTTTAGAGTTAAGTTTCTTGACACCTAGTCTGCATGAAAAGGCTAGCTGGGACGTCAAAGCGATGTCAGAAGTTCAGAGGAAGGTGGGGAGCGATCACAAGGTGAAAGAGGAGAAGGGAGGAACCGACAGCATGGAGCAGCAGAGATGCCAACTAATTCTGAGCCAGCAGGAGACGGAAAGAGAGGAGAGCGCACATCCACCGGCACTTGGATGTGGGATGGACAGAAACCAAAGGTGAATTAAATATGTCAGGAAGACAGGTGGCTGCTACTGATTTTTGCAGCGGTCACTGTTCTGAGCAGGTAAAAGGCACCACAAATTAAGAAAAAAAAAAAAAAGCTACAAAGGCTATGCCATGCTGGAGAAACAAACTATTTATGAGCAATGATGAACCAAAATAAAAGCAATGGTCTATTCTTAAAAGGATCTCCTCTCAGAGGAGAGAAAGACAATTTCCTATGTTTGTATGCACTGATTATGTTCAGACTTGAGCTGAAATAACAATGGCTTACACAACGGTCTTTCAAGTAGGGCAAAAAAAGCGTTTGGTTTGCTGGAGCTGGGGGTAAAACTGTTTCAAACAAGATCACAACTGGTTTTCCCATTTCACAATAATATAATCCAAAATGAACACTGCTTTTACAGATCTTGCATTGAATGGATTGAATGGACTAATAAATAAAGCTACAAATAAATAGGCTTTAGAAATATCTCTGAAGGCATCATCTCTCACATCAAGCTTAGATTCAACCAATATTAGCAATGTTTGAACATATGCAATGGGAAAGAAAAATAATTAGCAAAACAAAATTCCAACAGAAAAAAAGCTGCACAGTCCCTCTCAAAGGCAGGACGAGCATTTCATAAAACGAGATCTACTTGACTACATGTAATGCAAGCTACACGTTTAAGCCCCAAAG